TGGGCCAGGGGTGGGGATTTAAGAGCAAATGTGCGCCTGGGTCAGGAATTTGATCACTTATAAAAGCTTAATCTGTTGTTTCTTATGTGTATATTGACCATTTATTTTATTATTTGTGGGGCAAGGTCATTAAAAAAATTCAGGCTCAAGAGGGGAGGCAGTCTCCCTCACATCCGATTTCAGTGTCAGTCGTCACACAATGCTCCCTAGCGTTACAATAAAAAGAATGGAAAACATGTCAAGGGAATGTCATTTTTTATGCAACAACAGAGAGGGAGAATTAGAAAATCCCTTTTAAACCCTGCCTTTATCATGAGGGATTAATATTCCTATGACTTGACAGCCTATTTCCCATGGGAAACTAGCTGTGGAGTCTTACACTGGAACATGTATCAACTGTCATCATAATAACTAGGATTGCACTTGGCTTGTTGTAAATTTGATTACAGTGCGACTACACCCACCAAGGTAACCCAGACAAATTTTCATACGAATTAGCCAATCAGGATTGAGAATTTAAACAATAGAAACTGTACAAAAATATATTACTTTATACAAGTGTTTGTATGATCAGAGTGAACAGCAACAACAAAAAAAAAAACAGTTTAAAATCCAGGTTTTATCAAATCATTTGTTATTCGGCGCCACAAATGTGATATGTAAATTTGATTTAATGTTGGGTGGCCTTGGTTGATGTAGTCTAATAGTATCCAAAGTGCCAGACATTGGAGACGGTTAGGTTGCAGAAACATTGGGAAAAATCATTAGAAAAAATATAAATGCCCCCGGGTGGGGAAGCAGATGCAGATCAATTTGCACTTCACAATCCCATTATAAATTTCATACATTTACTAGAAGTAAATGTAGGACAAAGCTAGGCAAGGGCATAGGAGTGATCCTGTAGTTCCTGCTCCAGGAATGTGGAAATAGGAAACATGCCTGTTCTGTGTGTACAGCTGAGTGCTGCTAGACACTTCTCAAGTGTTCTGCCAATCTCCAAGTGCTTTATAACTACACACAGCACAGCCAGCAACTTTTTTATTTCTTTTATAAATTTTTTATAAAAGGAAAAAAAAGCTGCTTGCTGTACAGTTGTAATTTGTATACAGTCAATTCAAAAAACGTTGTCGTCGACCAACTCAAGCCTACGCGACTGGACCGAAAGGAACTCTGGGTAGTAATCATTGAAGCCGAGTTGACTCCATAATCTTATCTGACTAGTTATACCTGGTTTACAGCACGAACCTTGGTTTACAGCACGAACCGTTTTTTTAATGCCTTGATATTTTCAGAATTGTGAACTGAATCATAACTACTTTATTTTTCTTTCCCTAAACCCAAAGACATGCATTTGATGGATTGAATTGTTTCTCGCCATTATTATCTTCACTACTAGCGGGAACAATTAATTCAGAACGAATATTAAACCGCTTCAGTGAATTTTACCCATATTTCTTTCGGTCCAGTCGCGTAGGCTTGAGCCGGTCGACGACAACATTTTTTGAATTGACTGTATACACATAGCACAGCAAACAGCTTTTTCATTTCTTTTATAATTTTTTTATAAAAGAAATAAAAAAGCTTTGCTGTGCTCATGACAGTGTGTATATACAAATTACAGTAACTGTTAATTTGGATACAAATGACAAAGTAGAAAATGTGCGTTGCATGCTGAGTGCTCCCATAATCCACTGGTTCCCAACCTATCATAACACAAGATTCATAACAAATATTTAATAAAACACTTTAATGGGGACAGAAAACCAGAGAATATTTTTAAGGTTTGAAAATAATAACAGTGTTAATGTTCATTCTTGTGGCAGACAGTACTCCCAATGGCCAGATTGCAATAGCTATGTTGAAGCTGTCATCAAAATGCTTTGTGAAATGTATCCTGGGCCAGTACTTTCAACGAGACGCAATAAACAATGGAATCTCATTTGCACAGCATACGAAAGAATAAGAGATGTTGTTATTGACAATCCCTTAGTTATGAGAGGGACTAGGATACAGATGGTGAAGATCCACCCCACAGCACTCTTTCAATGGTAAGCACAACATATGAAGAAAGTGTCTATGTAATTAAGGACCATGCAGAACCAGGCAGAGTGTGATAGACGTTCCCCCACTCTTGGCTCAAATTTGGTACACAGATAAGGGCTAGTGACTTAATTATTTGTGTGCAGTCTTTTCTTCAACAGAAGCTTAACGGTAGAGTTACCTCCCACTGATTTTAGCACCAATTTTACTAAAACAATGCACTCTCTAGAGCAAAATTTTGTTCAAATTTTCTACTGATATTATATTTTTAGTTGAATCAATCTCTTGGTTTTTAGCACCAATATTACTAAAACAGTGTACTCTCTAGAGCAAAATATTGACAAATTTTCTATCAATATTTTATTTTTTAGTTGGATCATTTTCTTGGTTTTTAGCACCAATTTTACTAGAGCAGATGCAATTAAACTATGAAATAAAATCAAACTAAATACTAACTAATAGTATCTATTTAGTGACTAATAGTCACTATTACTCAACCAGAACATCTATTAAACAAAAGACGCAAATGGTCTCTTGTGTATTTGTCTTTGTATGATGAATGTTCTGGTTGAGTGATGACTAAGCAATTAGTAGTAACTAAATAGATACTATTAGTTAGTATTTAGTTTGATTTTATTCGCGGTTTAATTGCATCCACTCTAAACCAATGTACTCTCTAGAGCAAAATTTAGTTCAAATTTTCTACCAATATTTTATTTTTAGTTGAACCGATTGGTGGCTACATTAATTGACATCCAGCTTTTATATTTTTGACTTTGTTTTGTCATGCAACATTTATCAGCCTCTGTCTGGTTCTTATATGGGCACTTTCTGAAAATATTATTCTATTTGCAGACCTTAAAATGCTTATAAGCCTTTACACAATATTTTCAGAATTGATTCTTTAAATAGTGAATAGTTGATTGTAAAAATAATTCGTCATTTGAATGTCGGGTCTTTGAGATATGAAGGTTTATATTTCCAATAATATGACTATGACGTAACATAAGGGATTTTAGTTATTTTGTGGCAACTTTTAATATTGAACGCTGGACATTTTTTGAAAACATAGTCATTAACCCTTTATGCCCCATGGGGAATCTTGCTTACGTTGTGCACTAATCCCAAGGGTCATTAACATTCATTGTGCAGTATTGAGTATGCCTTAGATTTTGCCTTATAATGCCAAAGCAAGCTAAGGTACTGCATTACAATAGAAAGAAAAATTATAGATCTAATATCAAACTTTATTTTTAAACATCATAAGGTAGTAAATACATAAAATCTGATGAGAATATACTACTGAAAATCCTAGAACCTAAAACATACTTGCTCAGCCATTTTGTTCTAGGTTTGATATTGCAAACACATGGATTAGATTTACTATAAATCATCTCCTAGATCAATAATTCAATATAGAAATGATAAAAATGTATATTGAGACATGCAGCTAAAGAATAAGCTAGTTATCTATCATGAAAGTCAAGTGGTTTTCACAAATATGAAATA